GTTGTGTTTTTTATTATTTAAAATGAATGAAAAGTTGAAAAAAGCCTTGCATGAACAGGCGATCTCACACGCGTTCATTTTTTTGCTGTTGCTTTGTTTGGTGAAACATTGAATAAAGAAATGTTACATGTTTCACCAACTTTAGATGTAAGTAAGTAAATTTTATTTATATAGCACTTATTCAATTCAATTCAAGTTTATTTATATAGCGCCAAATCACGACAAGAGTCGTCTCAAGGCACTTCACATAATAAACATTCCAATTCACAGTTCACTAAGCCAATCAGAAATAAATGTTTCCTATATAAGGAACCCAGCAAATTGCATCAAGTCACTGACGAGTGTCAGTGACTATACAGCAATCCTCATACTAAGCAAGCATGCAGCGACAGTGGAGAGGAAAACTCCCTTTTAACAGGAAGAAACCTCCAGAGAATCCTGGCTCAGTATAAGCAGCCATCCTCCACGACTCACTGGGGATCGAGAAGACAGAGCAGACACACACACACACACACACACACACAATAATGTGTCTATAGTTCTATTGTGATGTCTTAGTAAATATTCTGTTTGGTGAGATCAACTTTATTGTATTTATCCTAGTGGATCTCTAATTAAATGGGTAAACTAGCAGTAACACGTCCAAACGTCAAGGAAAGCAAAAAGTTATTATCAGGAGAAGGAGAATGCCTAAGTGGTTAGCAGCAGTGTGCTAGACGATGGCCCCCTCCATGAGGCCACCACAGCTCAGCAGAATCACAAAGTGCTTCACATACATCAAAACGAAATAAAACAAAGTCATAAAATCATAAACAGATTAAAATCATAAAATCTAAATGCTCTCAAAACAGAATCAGATTAACATCAGAAAAAATAAAGTCATAAAATTATAAAATGTAAGATATATTTAAACAACAATAAAAATATTGGATTTCCTGACAGTGCCTCTTTCATCACTTTGAGGTTTTCTTGTGTTTTATTTTTTACAGAAATGTAAGTAGAGAAAAAAGACATCCAGTCTTAGAAATAACAGAACTTCTACATTATTTTTGTTGGCTTTAGGGATATGATCTGAATTTTTATCCCCACAAAATGAAAATGTATTAATTTTGCTTAAAGGTTGAATATGGAACAGTTTAATATAAAGATATTACCTATACGGCACATTTGGAGGTGTGGAAAATGAAGGTATGGTATTTCCTGTAAAGGTTATACTTTAATTAAAAAATAATCAAATATTTGTTTTGATGGGCATGACACTGGCATGTTCACATCTACCAGCCAATAAAGGGCACCGTTGCGGGTTGCCAGTCTGCTCGACACAGCGAGGCTTAAACTGTGGGAGACGGTGCACTCGACCAGCTGTTTCTGAGCCCAGAAGATGTTGTAACAGTAAATGCTGTTGTAAAATAAACATATTAGTAAAAATTAGTCCTTACCCTGTACGGTTCATCACTGAACATGGTGCTGATGTTCGTGTTCCATTCAACCCTTAATGTTAACTAATGGAAATGAACTGAAAAATTTTTGAACTGAGCAAAGAACCCTGTGGGACTCCATGAATTACGTTGTTTTATAAGAATGACTCACTGCCTACTTGATTAATAAAAATGTGTTTTTCTTTCTTTGCAAACTTCAGAAGAAAACATTTTGATAGCAGTTAGAGATTGTTTGGCAACACAGAATGTCAAAGTCTGTGTCACCATTCCCGAACAAATCCAATCCAATGTATTTATAAAGGACCAATAAAAGACAATGTGTACCAAAGTGCTGTACAATAAAAACAAACATAAAACGAAAGAAAGAATACAGTTTGCAGCAATCCTGTAAAAGTCGCAGTAAAAAATACCAAACAACTCAATGGAAGGTTAAATAAAAAAGGTGAGTCTTCAGGCAAGTTTTAAACACAGTAAGATAGTCTGTCTGTTTTACTTCTATAGGCAGAGCGTTCCAAAACCTGGGACCAATCACCTAAAAGGATTTGTCTCTTCTGCTCTTGCGTTTTGTCAGGGGAACCACGAGTAAGCCACGATCAGCTGACCGAAAAGACCGCACAGGCACATGAGAAGTC